TGCTTGGCGCCTGTGCTTTTTGTACTCCCGACTGAACCCGGCTGACAAAGAATAAGAACCCACCCTTGAGTAAATGAATGGATATTATTGAATTGCCGGCAAATACAAATGTGTTTATGGAATATATTATTTGTACATAATGTACATTATGTACAAATATATCGATGAAAATTAAACGTTTGCAACTTTGAAAAAATATACTTTGAGAAAAGAGAATACAGAACAATTTTTACAATTACTAATTACTAATTGCTCTCATCTCTTTCACGTGAACATAGTGAAATAAAAGAAAAGATTCTACCCTCGTGAGATTCAGATCGAGAACATAGATCGCGTGGAAAAATATAATAAAGGACAATTATTATTTATTAATAAATTTAATAAATATTAGCTATTAGAATATTAGAGCCAAGATAAAAGAAAACGCAAGTACGTGAGAGATAATTCAAGTGTAGCGTTGTAGAGAGTTAAGAACTATTAAATTGGAGGACGTCGAGAATGCCTGGATTCTCCGAGTCCTTTGAGTGGTCGCGATCGATCGACGAAGCGGCGCGATCGAAATTGTTCTCGGAGCCACGTCTATCTCGCGAGAAGGATTGTCGTTGAATCAACCTTGCGCGTACGGAGAAAATTCAATTCGACCGATTGAGATCGAATGCTGCCACCGTGTGACGGGAGAGCGGATCCGACGTGTTGAGTGCGGCCAACGCGACACCTGAGCCCCACGATTCGCGATACACAACACGACATCGAAATGCGCTGCGTGTCGGGATACGCACTTCTGCTGACGAGTCTGCTGATGGTGCTAAGAATTTGCCGAATAGGCGCGGCTTTGGCGAAGGCGTCATCAGAATTTCAGAGCAAAGGTACGTGTGTCAAAGGAATCGAATTTCCTTACAACGTTGTTTATCCAGAATTTCCTCCAACGCGTCGGCCCGCAAAATCTGTTTATCGCTATATTTATTCCCGAATTGCATTTTCAAGGAGATTTTCAGTGAAATTCGAGCTGCCCTAATTACTCTCTATTTTCGACCGTCAACCTCCACCTTCGATATAAGAAACTATGCAAGCGTCTTAGCCTTCGTTGCCCGAAACTGTCGGAAGATTGACATCTAATTAGCAGGTCAGATCCGTCAACGAGGCTATTAACGTGGTATTCGCTTGAAGTTCAACACGTTTCCCCAAGTTTATATTAGGTTACGTTTACACGTTAACCCATTAACTTTGCATCCACGTCACTACGGAGGTGAAATTCTTAATAAATTTTCTTTGATACTAAAATTATTTCCGATTACATATTTTGATATTTCAAAATTGTTAAGTCATGATAAGAACTTTTTATTGTATTATGATATTTTATATATAAATCATATAATCATAATATGGATACATGCTGACATACGACTATAACGATCATAACGAATAATTTATGTAATTGTATTATAACAAATAATTATTGTAATAATTTATATTTAAGAGAAGAAAAAATAAATATACATAATATAATAAATTAACTTAAAAAAAGTAAAGTTTAAAAGAAGTAAAAAACCAGATTCTGGGTCATTCTTACATAATTTGGGAGATGCCTTGGCACTTTTTGACCATCGACACCAACCGGAAGGATTTAAATAAACCCGCAGGCCCGCATGCGACCTACTGACGTTTTAGCGTTCGTAAAATTCAATCAAGGCACCGTTTGTACGGTTCAATCTCTAGCATATCACGAACAGTTTCACGTGATGCGTCGTTTCCTGTTTATATCATTGCGACATAACATTTTTATTTGCAGAAAGGAAGCAGATAGAACCTCGCATTATCGCGCGTAGCCGCGTGAACAATTTAATTAATCGTGTCGCGGAAGAATCTGGCGAGTAGCAATAATAGCCGTGCCACGGATGGTGGACAGGTAGACAAAATTTGAAATAGTCGTCTGAAATAGACGTCGCCAGTTTAATTTGGCGAGACTGCCGACATTCGCTAGTATGCCAGAATAATTACGTTATTAATCTTCGAGTTTCGCGGACTCTCTCGGGAAATCATGAGAACATAAAAAAAAAGAAAAAAATATACAAAACCCGGAAGGGAAACCCATTTTTGAATGTGTCAAATGAAATTAAATGAAAATTTGTAGATTTTTGCGGCTACAATACAGTCAATAACATTTATCGGTCACCACAGGCAATTTTTGCAATATAATTTTTTGATAATCAAAGGATAGGACAGTTGTACTGTAGGAACAGAAAACAAGGAAACAAAGCCGAATGATGTTGTCTGTAGTATCTTTTTTTAAAAAAAAGTATTTTACAATATTTTTTAAAAATAGAATATTGCAAAATATCTCAACCTCAATTAAATGCGAGAAGAATTTTGGAAAAATTTCAATTAAAAATCATTTTATCGAGAATAACAAACGTCGACTGATTTTGAGAAAAACTCTCTTAACTCTAATTGCATGAGGATATGCTAATGCAAGGGGAAAAGTGGCGAACCGCAGCGCGTTAAGATAATGAGCGGCATAATGCGCTAACGCGACCGCATTGCGACCGTTAAGATAAAGCGAACGCGTGCGATTTATCTATATCGGGTTTATATATTCGCGATGCGATAACGCGCGTGCGGGATCCTGCCACTTGGAAAACAGTCGATCGAAAATAGGAAGCGCGGATCGGCGAGTGGATATTTTCGTCGGCGTTCCTCTCTCGGATGCGGGAACCCGGATCCGAGTTTGCAACGAAAGAATTTTCGCGCGATTTATTTTCAGCGGGTGGAAAGGAGCTTTCGGATCTTTGGCTTCGTCACCGTCAACCTCATCGTTCGTATATCGTACGATATATAATTATTAAGAATTAACATTGGCCAAACATAATTGTATTTGTTGGCAACCGGTGGGAATTTAATTAAACATATACAGACGCTTATATGTAAAATTATAAATTTAATAAAAATCCTGAAAATTTTTTTAAAATCTTATAAAATCCTGATAGTTTTACGCGATATCAATCGTTTGCCTTACCTCGTTTGGTTATACGAAAAACGATTAAATTGCCGTTAATCATGACGCTCGTGTAGGCATCATCGCTAGAGTCTTTACATGTTTCTCTAACAGTAAAAGTCATGTATAATGGTCCGTTGCGAAAGCAACACTTTCTGCGAAATGAAAACACATAAACCATTGCAGCGTACTTTTCGCGCATGGAAGATCATCGTTGCATCTTGACAACTCCCTCGATATAACTCATGTTAATTTCCTGATACGTAGTTCAATTTGCATCTTATCTGTATGTAATACGAGCAGTTTTTATATAAAAGAAAGATTAGACTTTATCTAAAAGAAAAAAGATATTATAAAATTTCTCCAAAGAAAAAGATGTTATAACCTTTTGAAATATTTATCATGATTTTTTGGATAATTAAATAAATTAAAAATTGTAGAGGATGTAAATATTAATATCTAGATTTATATAAGAAGACAAATGGGTAAAATGATAATTTAACTCTGCGAGATGTTAAGTATGAATTACATTTTGAACATGGTATGTACTTTTAATTAATGCGCGCGCATTGCTGCAAACGTCAGAAATGATAAAGTAAAATAAGATAATTCCTCATTAAATGAAAACAGATTCTTGTACATTTAGCCCCCCCCCTTCCCCCAGAACGTTATTCACAATAATTATATATTACTTTCAATGCTTAATTGAAAGCGTAATTAGCTTAATTAGCGTGAATCGCGTTTTACAAATATTTTGCTACGCGATGCACTGCCGTTGTATTATTATTTAATATTTATAGTTACTCAGTCTTTATTGATTCGAGTAATCGTTGATTCATCAAACAAGGTCCAAGTAATTAATTGCAGCGCGTTTTGACATTTGTCCAACCGCTTACTGATCCTAAACTCGTGCGTTGTTGTGCGTGACACATGTCGCCGGCGTTACAAACGAGTATATGGTTGATTATATGCACGAAAATTATATGGAAAGGAGAGATAGAGATAATATACAAACGCATCAAATATACGATGCAATATCATTGAAACAGTTAATGGCTCGAATCTGTTATTCGTTATTCAATATTCCGTTGAAATAATTAGCGATCTCGAATCGGTAGCGTTTCAAACAGATTAAGTATTTTGTGAACGCATAACTGACATTAGAACTAAATAAATTTAAATTTAAATTTTTATACGTTTAAATTAAACGTATCTATGAGATTGTACGTATGAGATTGAGTGATAAATTTGCAAAGTTATTCATGAAACTCGGCTATACGAAATGTTAAAGTGTTACACGTGTATCCCGTGAAAGATTGATAAATTCGCAATCTGTTATCGTTCCGACACTGATCGTGAAACATTGCGTCGTTAATATTTAAACTCAAAGTGATCAAGGGTCGAAGGACAAAATAGCGAGGTAGAACGCGGAGAAAGGGTTGGCCTTTGAAAATGGTACAGGTTTGACTAATGTAACGAGGGAACCAGGAGAAACACGGGTCAGAGCATTGGTGAAATTATCATACAAAGTGGTCAAAGCCATCTCCGCATACCCTCCTTTTCCATCCCTTAGGCGACCCTCGGGACGGGCAGCCTCGCGGGGAACCGAAAGGAACAGAAGGTGGTCGACCGAGAATATCGATATAATTGTCAGGTTGCGTGTAGCCTGTTATTTTGAAATAGATCCGGATAAATTATTATAGATAGGAGGCCACATGCTCTTTGTAAATAATTATTGGCCATTGAGATAAGATATATTACCTATTTCTCTTTGATCATTCCGGCCGTCATAAGTCTTTATCGATTTAAATTCGACTGACCCACCTTTCAAATCGATCATTATTACTACGATCATCATTAATCATTTTACATCTTTGTTTTTGTATATGTATATATATATATACACTTTACGTTTACTTCACTTCATCATAAATACAATTTCAGATGAAAAAAATAATCAGTATTATTATTAAATAAAACCTAAGAATTGATTTATGTGTGAGATTTTTTCCTTCAAATTTGTAAAAAATATTTTTGTTTATTTTTACATTTAAATATTACTTCTTCAAGTTTCTATATAAATTATGCACGTGTTGTTTTTTTTTTAAAGCCAATAATTTTCTTTTGCTGTGCGCGGGCATGGAAAAATTTCGACGTGAGATAAGCACGACCGCGAATTTGATCCGTTGAACGATAGATGCACGATCGAAGTGAAAGAAAGGGCAGGGAAAGAGGCCAGGCTGCGACCCGTACGGAAATAGACGCGAGTCGCCGGAAGCACGATTTCCCAACGAATACACGATACAAAAATAGCAGAGTTGTCCCTCCCGGCCGACTATTATTTACATAACCGCCCGATGCGCTTAAGCGAGCTTTTTTCCGATTTTCAAATCGATTTTCTGGAAGAGAAAGAAAGGAGGGAGGAGCGAGAGATCTGTATTTCTGTCTGTATTTCTTATATTAAAAAGAGAAAAATGAAAAAACAGAAACAAAGGAACGTACGGAGTAATCCACTTTGGGGTCCATGAACCGTATTCATTTTTTTCTTGTGGAAGACAGGTGGATGCAGTAGCCGACTGCTTAAAAACAACAGATCTATTCTTTTTAACCGCAGGGCTTATACATTTTTTTTTTGTGAACTTGGAATGAAAGAAATATATACTCATGCCATGAAGAAGAAATAAAGGAGAACATATGCGTTTTCGTTCCAGAAAGAAGAACCGAAGGAACAATGAAATACGATGGACTGTATTATGATGATGAACTATACATGTTCTCTTATTCGTCAAAATCCAGGATATGAAAATTTACATATTCTGAAAAGATTATAGGAAAGAACGTATCGTTAAACATTTCTTCGTCAAAATTATAACGCTGTATCGCACTCGTGCAATTCCATGCACACATTCGAATGATATAAAAAAATATGATAGAATAATTTATTCGTCAGATCTTTTCGAGTTGATTTAATATATTAAATTATGTGACAATCAAGGGGGGTTTCGTGACTCTGCGTTGAGTGCCTTAACAGGTGCAAACGCGCCGCGTTTGAGTTGCACTGAGTAGAATCCCTAACCGCCAACGTAAAACAGGGCGCTTAGTCGCAACCCTCTCGTCAGGTTCTTAAGAGCTCGTTAAGGGCGATGAAACATGTAGCAGTGTACTAATGAAGCAGTTCTTCGCGAACGGTACATCATCGTTCATGCTCGCGTGGCCATGTGCACGATGAGCAAGTGCGTCCAGGCACGTCCAGGTGCATGTTTTGCTAAACTGGATCTGGAATTTTACACGTAAAAATCCATGATTTTTGTTTCGCATATTTTCTCTAGCTTTCTCTCTCTCTCTCCTCTTCTCTCTCTCTCTCCTCTCTCTCTCTCTCTCTCTCTCCTTTATTTTCGCCGTGGTAATCCGTGTATGCAAACAATTTCTTTCGATACATTCAAAGTATTAGCGTCGTGCCGCATAGACATAGGTCTTCTATCGAAGAAGGGAAAAAAGGGAACTCGATAAAATATGATGACGAGAGACGACTCAAGACGTATACTCACAATGAGAGAATTATCAATGGCATACCACGATGTGCATTAAACAGCAGCGCGCCTCGTGCACGTGCGGCCGGCCGGCCCGCGGGCTCATGCCATATCGTTTCTATTTTCTGCACCGGTACTTCATAACGATGTGGCGAATCTAAGTTTAAATCGCGTGCTGAGGGCAGCGTAAAATCATGGACAATGGTGCATCGAACCTATGTCCATTATCGCGGTTGCGATTACGTGTCCAGCTGGCAGAATTACGAGGGAAGCTATTGTTATTTCGCCAAGAAGATTTTGATCCCCGAAAACAATAGGCAGACAGAATTCTTAGTCACATTTAATTTTCAAGTCGCTCGCGTCAAAATTACAATCATGTAAAAGCCCTAAAATTATAATTATAAAAATAATAATAAAATTATAAAAATTATAATTTAGCACTTAAATATATATATATGTTAAATGCTATATTGTATAATATACGTTCGTGTAACATCTGTGTAATATATCATATTTATTTATTCTCTTCAGAATGTACTCAGAATATCTACAGAGTAAATCTTCTTGTATATTTTCACCAGTATATCTTGTATATTTTCACCAGTATAAATACAGCATCTCATTTCGCAGGATGTATTTATAACATCATTATTAATTCGCGTAAATATTTTTAGAATATGCTCATTACTTGTATGAGACGTTGTCCGTACATTTGATTGTCTCTTGATAAAATATATAATGTTTAATGCAAGCTGTTTCTCTTAAAATAACGTACTGTAACAATGAAGTTAAAAATTTCAAAATTTCAACATTATTAAAACGCTATTTTCCCGTAATCTTTGATTGTTGCTAACGTTATTATATGATAAACGTGATTTATGTTCTTCTGTCAGCCGCTTGTGGACGTAATCACAAAAAAATATATAATTCACATGTCACGGGAAAGATTTGTATCTTGACTTTTAACTAGGTTGATGTGTGACGATTATTGATTATAATTTTGAACGGGACAGAGTATTTTTCAATATTCCACGTCATACTTTCGCAATTATCTCTTGATTGAATCTCGCAGAATTAAATATCATGTTATATGAAAAAAATTTTAGATTAATAAGAAAGATATGACTAATGAAAATATACAACTAGAAAATGTGTAATTTTTCTCTTTTCAGCACCCGTGAGATTAGTCTGGGCGGCCGAAGGCGACAATGTGGAATTGCCATGCGACATCACACCACCGACACCGGGGGATAGGGTTAACATGGTTCTCTGGTTCAAGGACAACGCCGGGATACCGCTCTACAGGCAAGTCTTGCATTTTAAAAATAATCCTATCCCGATCTGACTATTTTTACGTGACGCTAATGCCACAAAGCTAGAACGCCAATCCATCTGAGTTTAGCTCTGCGAAAGACGCCGCCATTAATTTTCACAAATCATAACCAAGTTGCGAGATGCTAGTCTTAAAAATAAAAAAAAAAAAGACGCAAAGATTTATAGGAAATCTACCGCAAATTTATATGTAAGTGAAAATACATTTCTCAAAACGCGCAAAGAAGAAACGAAATTTTTTTTCTCGTTTGAACACATGATTTTAACGTTTAAAAATATTCTTCCTGCTGTCGATTTCCTGTGTTCTGAGAATCTGTGAGAAATGATTCACGTGGTTAACTTTCTGCCGAAAGTCTGACTCCCGAATGCTGGCTAAGCCCGCATTATTGGGGGATGCCATTGTTCTGAAGTCGCATCTCGAAATATCCCGGCATGAGAGCCTAGGCCTGAGCGTGAACTCTCATTATGGACACCTCCGACGTATTCTGTTCGCGACATATAAATATCACAGGCTCATTAACGATCGATGTAAATGAGCGCAATCTACATTTAAATATTAAAGATTATCAGTTTTAATTATATCGAGCTGGAAAATTTAAAATAATTAAAATTGTCAGATTAAAATTGTTTTAAAGATATTGAAGATTAAAAATGTTTGAAGATAATATAAAATTTCAATAAGATATTTATATATTATACATTTATATAATATTTATATATATATATATATATATATATATATACATTTTTTAACACGCTTAGATCAGAGTAGAAAAAATAAATTTTAAGTTACAAGTTGAGGTTTCTGTTCGTGATTTTTATGAAGCGTTTTGAAAAGCATTATTTTGTTATATCTATTTTATTTGTATATTTATTGCATGGACAATTATAAAATACACTGGTGTGTATACACGAGAAAATTTAAGTTAGGCTAGATCAGGGCTGTATAAATAATTCGACTGAATTTCTACGATCGGAAGTGTAGAATGATGAAATTTCATAACACCAACTCGAGCTTCAGGAATAGCAGTCGATCGAAGACTCTTTTCGGCTGACATAGGCATTAAACAGAACACGAGACATCGCTTATTTATGAAAACGGTCTCTGGCATCGTAAAGCAAGATGTTTCTTCATCAACTATCATTCGTTCGTCTATGAGAAATAAATAGAGCCGTGTAAAAGTCACGTGCGCTTGAAAGAATTTTTATTACGAATTTTTATTACTTTATTATATTTCAAACTACCCCGTTTTTTGTTAAAAAATTAAAATGTAATATAAAATATTGTTTTTTTAATAAGATACATACATATATAAATACATTTTTTGTTAATTAGATCTTTCAGAAATTAAAGAGAAAGTTATAATTAATTTTCAAAAATTATATATTATAAGAAACAAATTGTTTATTAAAAATAAATAGATTTGCCTCAGAATGAAAATTTTATGATTTTCATCGAGATTGATGTTGTAGTAAGAAAAAATATAGAGAGCTAGAAGCGTAATGCGAAAGCAAATGATGCAATGTGAACGAAACGTGTAGGAAACTGTCAGTGAGTGGTTATCAAAAACGTGATGGTTATAAGGTTCACAAGGGAGCATAAAGTTCTGGGCAATATCAAAGGACCTTTATAGAAGAAATACAACAAGCAAAAGGGATCATAGAGCGTCAAAGGGAAGCGCGAACAAGTTGCGAGGATGGAACATAAAGCAGTCTCTGGTTATTTGCGCCTTCTGCTGGCGAAGCGCTCTCCTCACAGGCTTTCCCGCGGAATCGCGCTTCCGATAGTCGCTGAAATGGTCGCGAAATGGCAGAAAAAAGAAGAAATAAACGCATCGAATCGAAAGGAATTTGCACCGCGGTACTTCGGAATCCGGCACGATAAAACGTTTTATCAAAGGATTCGTACTTTTTATTCCGATACGTGAAATGAGAAAAGTTTCGTTTATTATCGAAGTCATTTATCGTAAATGATACCATTCAGAATCTTTTTGAACGAAAGAACGGACAAAGACTCGGTCGAATCATGACTGAGTTTTGAACGCACACATGATTTAGACGAGGGCTCGTCTACCAGTCGCTTTTTACGTTTTACGCCTTCGAATTCCTCGTAGCTGAGGACATCTCATGCGTTCGAAGAACCGTCATATTCCCGTTTCAATGGAGATAGGAGATAACTCTGCTCAATTTCACGGCACGTAACTCAAGTTACACGAGATGGAACTTTCCTCCGTTGCTTCCGAGTCGACTTTGACGACGTATTTGGCAACGGATCGTCGTCAACCGCAAATATCAACGGCGAATCACGCGACGTGCGGTAAACAGCTTTGATGATATCTCTTTTTCCCGTTGCCTTCGCCGTTTTTTCGCCGTGCGCAGGAACGATTTCCTGTTCCCGTCGTTGCGCAATAACCCAGCTCTCCAAAGCTAAGAGGATCTAAATCCGCAAGTGACAAGTCTGCCAAGTGTCCTTTTTTTTTCGGCCGCGAATAGATGCGCTATGCACGCGAGTTTAGTCACCGAGAGCCGCCAATTGGCGAAAGCGCGATGTTTACCGAGTTTCCGTACCGGAAATGCTCAAGATCGCGATGGAGAAGTTTAGTTTAGAAAATTCCTCCCAACTGAATCAATGGCGCCTTAGCCTGAAAATGACATTCCTTGAATATATTTGTATTTAATCAAACATATTTACCCTTAAAATAATGAAAGTAAATTTTCTCGATTGATTAAAAAGAATGTCAAAGAGAAAGAATAATGTTTGACAACTCGTACCATGATTTTTATGTTGAAAATTATTTTATATTTATTATTTGAAAATTATTTTGAAAATGATGGTAACGACAACGTGTGTAATATTTTTACTCGCGACGCTGATCGTAAAGTAATTCAATAAAGTGAGTTGTTTATTCTTATGTTCATTCGCGCTCGATAGCAAATCCGATTTAAAAAAAAATACTAGTCGCATTGAAAAAATAATTTGAATCGGTCATAATTTAATTAATTAATATCCGTATAAAGCTTAATATATTTTAATATATTTGTCTTTCTCTATAGTTTGGATGCGAGAAATAGTAATTTGACCAGCGCCATCCACTGGGCGGTCAGCGACGACCTCGGAACACGAATGTACTTCCAGGTTGGCGACGGCCAGCGGGCGAAATTAAAGGTCAACGAGGTGACGTTGAAAGACCAGGGTATCTTCAGGTGCAGAGTGGACTTCGTGGACTCGCCGACGCGAAACTTTCGCGTGAACTTGACTCTAGTTGGTAACTATCGCGTTTCAAAGAGAGTGACAAGAGAGTGACGAAAACATTGTTACAACGTCACGTTTAACACTTTCAGAGCAGCCAAGTAGACCTGTGATACACGATGCTCAAGGACGAGAAGTGACGGGGGTGGGCGGCCCCTTCCTGGAGGGTTATGATCTTGCTCTGACGTGTCAAGTGGCTGGAGGTATGCAATCTCACCTTTTTAAGTTATCAATGCGCATATTCTTTGTCGTTGTTGTTCTGTCTTTTGATATTTTACAAATGATATTCGATATAAATTGGAAGTTGATTGATAGAAGAGCTACGTGGGTAATTGATTCACAGGAAGGCCTAAACCTTCAGTGACATGGTGGAAAGATGGCGAGCTGCTCGATGGTGTAATCGACACTCCACCTATTAACCCACCGAACAAATTTACATTGAACCACTTGTTCATCGATAAAGTTACCAGATCATTGTGGGGAGCGAAGCTCGAATGCAGAGCTCAATCTGGACCGATGGGGAAATCCATCGTTCGCGAGGTCCCTCTCGACATATATCGTAAGTATCGTATTTTACATGTTTTACATGTTTACGTGTTTCATATGTTCGATCGAAATTACATTTCGAGAAATTGATGTTTCAAAATTTAAGGAAAATTTTGAAAAACAATACACGAAGTTCGTGAAGTATACTTTGAAATTAGTTTCGAGTCCCGACTTTGATTACGAGGTCGTAAATCTCTTGGCGATCACACCCTATCGAGGGCTTCGACTTGAGGACCTTCCGACACTTTTTTAACTCCTCGCTGTTTGAACGATGAAATGCAAAAGGCGGCATTTCCGGGAAATGGATCATAAATGCCGCGTTAACGTGACATCTGCTTAAAATAAAATCGAAGAAACGCACGCACGGTCTTCAAGGCCGTTCCCGCGATCCTAAGCACGTGCTAAAAGGCGGGCTCAAGCGGCGCGTGTTAAAGGGCACTCTTGGCACGTTTTATTCGATCGACACGTTACGCTTCCGTTTCTACGCCTTCCTCTTGTATTTATTTTTAGTCGAGCTAAATAGGAAAACTGTCACACTTTGCATCTACGAGAGAGACAGGCACTTGTTGCAACCCTCGAAGAAAAATTATGACTGAATTTAAACAAAAAAATTATCTACAATTTAAAAAAGCGTGTAAAATATTTTTCTTATTATTTTTCAGTCCTCCAGTAAAATTTAAATATGAAAGAAAATTATTTAACATAATATTTTTAATTCAGCAACCATAATATTGCATCTTGTTTTTTTCTCTAATTTTTTTTAATTCTGTTTTCCGAATCAGAATTGTTTTTTGCATCCCGGAGTATATTTCATAGTGAAGAAAGAAATTTAAATATAGTTGCGAGCAACTGATCCGCGGCGGAAGCAAAATGAATTCCAACCATTTTCCGCGCGGTCCTCCTTAGGTCTTTTGACGGTCGTATTTCGCAGAATTGTCGTCTAAAAGTAAAAATACGTGGCAGCGGGCATCTGGCCCTCCCTCGGACCGTTATTTTCGTGGTGCGAGGCTCTGGCACAAAGTTTTTTGCATCCAGTAGGGATCATCTGTCATGCTTACATCCGCAGATGTAAATTTTTGACAACGAAGTATCCTTATTAAACCGGCACATGTTTCTTGCTTTCCTGTCTTTTTAAATTAGAGCTCTTTGTGATTTCATTCTTTACTATTAATTCGTATCACATTTTAGTTAAACCGGCGATCGTGAAGATCAGTCTGCAGGAGGATCAGATCTTCGCTGGTCGTCCGATAACTGTCAAGTGCGAAACGTGGGGTAGTTCTCCGGCGGCTAGGATCATTTGGAGACTCGGCGAACACGTGATAGGCGATTCCAACATATCAACCACGCAGAGGACTAACTCGACGATGAGCAGATTGGCTTTGATCCTCAGCAAAGAGGACGACGGCAAGGAATTAATTTGTCGAGCCGAAAATCCAAGATTTCCCGGAGGGGTCCTCGAGGAAGTCAAAACGCTTCATATCTCTTGTGAGTTTTCGAATGTTTTGCAACGTTTATAGCTTTCAAACTTGGCCTCTCGATTGAATGTCTAAGTGAATCCGAAAATAATCCTTTTTTTTAAATTTTATTTACAATTTTACAAAGTTTTTACAGTAAGTGCCATCGTAAAAAAAATATTATTTGAAAATCGATCACTCGTATTCTTTTATATTTAAATATTCTGCGAACTGAAATGGCGATATTTATTGCGAAATCGAGTACCGTAATAAACAATGACGCAATCTCTCCAATTACAAACAGATGCTCCAGTAGTCGTCGCTCGTTTGGCTACCGGTTACGTCTTGGACACTTTGAGAGAAGGCGATGATCTCAAGTTGATCTGCGACGTTCAGAGCAACCCGCCGCCAACGCAAGTGACTTGGTATCACGATGTAAGTAGAGACAGGGGAAAGGAAAAAAAAGAACAGTCTCGTTATTCGAAATGATTCACTGCTATTCAGATCTTCGCATTCTTCTTTGTAGAATCAGCGACTGGACCACGACGTGAGTGCCGGAATTCTGCTGTCTTCTAATTCATTGACCCTCCGCGTGCTCACACTCGCACACATCGGCGGATATTTCTGCACGGCCACGAATACCGTGGGAGAATCTTATAGTCCGCCTCTTTTTATCCACATGAAATGTGAGTAATCGCTCTATTTATTTTTACTTATTTTTATTAAAATGAATCGTTTCCTGATCGTTCATGAACAATAATACATGGCAAATTAAATTATTATCAAGTCATATTAGATCTTCTAATTTAATTTGAATGTTTTATACTCATTTTTCTCAATGTAGATTTAATTTAACCTCGCGGTTTAACATATTTTTATTTTATTTTAGTCCTAAGAATTAGAAAAAATAAAAATAAAATAAATTAAGATTAAAATTAATAAATATTGATTAAAATTACTAAGATACGACATCAACGTGTGAAAAATAATTAATTATTAGTGTTCTTGTTTAAAAATATTTGTACGCATGAATTTTGTCCTATTCATTTCTCATGGTATTTCTAATGTTCTAATGATAGATGCACCGAGATGCAAACAAGGTAATGAGAGAAGAGAGATCACCGTCGCTCGATACGAGACGGTATTACTCAAGTGCGAAGTGGAGGCATTACCTGATGACGTACGATTTTCGTGGACCTATAATGGTACTATCGGCGATGTTTTACCTATACCAAATTCGAGAATCGAAAGTAAAGGGCTCAAGAGTATGCTAGCATACACTGCTAATGCCGAGACCGACTATGGCACGTTGGCCTGTTGGGCGAGCAACAGCATCGGACGACAAAGAACACCTTGCATATTTAACATCGTACCTGCTAGTGAGTCATCAGCTGTCAATTATCATTTCTTATAAACCAATTTTATAATGAAAGGAACTGTGTGCATTATCAGACAAAATAAAATGTTTCGACAAGTAAAATGTAATTAAATACAAAATTTGTTAGCATACAAATTTTTAACATCATTTAAGAAGGTTACACCTTCGTTGAGGATTTAAATGCTGGTTTCTTTTCATCATTCAGAACCACCGCAGTCGCCAATGGATTGTGCATTGCATAACGAGACCAGCTTGTTGGAGGTTAATTGCATCCCGGGATCAGACGGTGGATCACCACAGCACTTTTTGCTCGAAGTACGGGGATCCCTCAGGAATTCCGGAATTGGTCAAATCGACCCTCACACCCTTCAGACTCCTCAGAGCGATCAGGGAATGGTCGGGGAATTTCCCCCATATATCAGGACATAAATCCGACTCCGAACTTCCAGCTTCACGACCTTGAACCAGGGTACGATTATACGGTATATGTTTACGCGGTCAACGGACGTGGCAGAAGCGAACCTGCCCTTCTGGAACACGTCAGGGTCGTTGAACCCATTGGCAGAAAGATGGAGAGGGGTGGACTTTTTTTGGAAGATTTGAAAAAGGCGTTGCCGCAAGCCAGCTCCGAGAACATGATTATCGTCATTGCACTGACAGGTACAGGTAAAATCGATATTGCTAGCTTTTTATTTTGGTTGGTAATATGTTAATTTCGCCTAATCACCTAGCAACACCTATCTTAATTTATAGTGATCGAAACAAAAAATCGTTTCTTCACACATTTGAAATTTTTGTAAATTATTTTTATTTCTTTACTGTTCTTATCTTAATATTATAATTAAGAAACATAATAATAGATTATTTTTTTCTGTAAAGTGAATAAAAAAAGTATTATGTTTAAAAGCAAAAGTTTTGAAATTAAATTTATAACTTTTAGACATTTTGTTAGACATCTACTGTGCATTGTTATATTTAATCTACTTTCTTAAAAAAAAAATTATTTCGATTTATTAATATATGTTAATAAATTTTATATTTATTTTTGTCTTGTACATAATGCAATTTTGGTTTTAAGGTGCGGCAGCGTTGGTCCTCGTCGGTATTGGAGTAATCATCGGCATAGTGGTCTGCAGAAAAAGATCAAACCCACCCATTATAGAAGGCCCAGATGATTTCACTACACCGACCTACGTTCCGGCTCAGAGAGTCGAGCCCAGGATCAGATACTCTAATGAAAATAGGCGATCTCAAAGAACAAGTCTCTACATTGAAGAAAATCGAAAAGGTAGCTATCGCAAGGAAAGAAGAGAAAGAATCTGGTGGATCGCATAATTTCACAATTGGAATAATTATTAAATCTTCTTTCAGAACCGGATATATTGCAACGAGTGGAGCTCGACTTACAAGACTAAGGCCACCTGATTCTGTACAGTAGAAATAATCAAGACGAAGTGCAATGTAGAATTCCATACATAAAGTTCAATTGCTCCTCGAGATTCGCATAAATTTCTAAGTTCCGTCTATCGAATTTATATCACGTCGTAAAACTGGAGGCGGTTATCGGCTGTAACGAGTAATCGTCAGCCATGTAAATCGCTCATTTGATTCGAGGGATGTTGTCGATGGAGCGACACATAGTACTTTTTACGACCAAATTGGGAAATCTTCATTGATCTTCACGCGCAAATTGAGGCGGTTACGAAACATTCTATTAGTTATTTACGTTCGTTTTCTGCGGGATGTAAAAGGTCCGCGGACGAAATTTCTTTATGTTAGATTGTATAGAGTCTAGGATTAAAGTAACATTAAAATGTACAGCTATTTTTACAACGTAAGAGGCTAAGGCGTCGGTCTACTACCATATACTTGCAAGTATTAGCGTATTAACGTCGACCTAAAAACGTGATCTTATGTACCTTTGTCGGATAATAGTGACTGCTTCAAAAAGAGACATCAATTTTAAAACTTGAAATCTCTAGAGACTTTAATGTGTGTACTTCATGAATATCGAATTTTTCCTATTAGAAAATGTTGTGCTTACGCAATATCATACTTCGTGTTTTACTAAGCTGTTGTAATCGATTTATATTTCGGATATACTTTTTTTGAAGCAGTCGGTAGTTTATAAATTATTATTAATGTTTAATTTGTATCTAAGCTTTTATCAGCGTAATTCACGCTATTCCATACGATGTAAATATTGCATTCACGCGCATTAATTGATATACAGAGTAAAAGAAGAAAATAAAAGTTGTATTATTAGTGATTAATAAAGCTAAAAAGGCTACTATAAAAAGAACTTTTTTATCTCTTTTATTCCCATAAAAGAGAAGGGATTCATTAATAGTTAACCATTTTATGATAATTAGCAACAGGGTAATCTTGTGTAAATAATATATATTTCTACTATGTTCCACACGTTAAACGCATTAAAATCACTGACGTTGAAATTATTCATTATTATTACAATTTGTCAATTATTAGCGATAATAAGCTTACTTGAAGCGGCTACTGATTTAATTATTCTATTTCGCAAACGTGTCTGGCTTTATAATCGTTCATATTGTCGAACATAATACTCTATGATAAGCGAATTGGCATTTAACGTATCGCGATTTGATGTGCCATTTAAATGAATTACAGAATCGCATTATATAAACGCGTGGACTCTCTTCAACTTTGGAGAGAGATCGCATTTAGAAGTATCTCGAATCCCGAGTGTCGATAAAGAAGCGCAATTTTTAATAAATAAAAACATTAAAAAATTAATTCCAATTACGAAGATGTTCTGAATTATAAATAAATATACATTAATGTGTAAAAATTAAATTTCTCCTTACTTTTTGAGAATTAAAACGTGATCTACGTTATCAGCTATTAGTACAGAGATTGATATATATACGTTTCTGATACATAGAAATATACGTTTGATAGCGCCACATGTACAAAGAAGCATATTAATATATACTACTATTTATCTATAATACAATCATATAATTATCATTAAATTTTTCTTCCCGTCTGATATTAATAATTCTAGGTTTTCGAAATGGCAATCGATTTCGATTTAAAATTTTAATTCTCACTTTTTATCTCAATTACGACATTAAATGAAATGAATTTTAGAATATTAGTGTTGTCGGTATTATCGTTATATATTAAATGATATATTATAATTAATTTAAAAGCACGTTAAATGCAATGTCTGCATTAAGATTGCAAGCATATTGCAATAATATACGACCTATACATGTTCGTTTTATATTCGTGAAATCGAACACTTTTCCATGAATACCAACAATCCATTAATGAAAACTTCATCAACGGAATAATTACGTCGCTGCACACGACAGTTGTCCCATTTCCGCAAATTGCCTAGCAACGGTTGTGATTTAGAGCCATGAATTAAATATTGCGTGACATATAGAGAGAGAGACATATTATAATCTTTCGCAAAACGCGATAGTACACTTTCGCTCGCGTGCATCAGACATGTAAGATATATATAT